CAACTTAGCCCCCACCTACGCCGAACTTGGGCCAACTTAGCCCCCACCTACGCCGAACTTGGGCCAACTTAGCCCCCACCTACGCCGAACTTGGGCCAACTTAGCCCCCACCTACGCTGATTTGTTTAGTAAATAGAATCAATTTCAGATTTGGTCCTGAGATTTTGTCAAACACCTGCCAACTTTCCGAAGCTATGGAGTCTCCACTTTTGCGAGCTGGTGTTGCAGCAGCCCACCTAGCCTTGGGGATGAGCCCAACCTCCAGCACAAGGAGCAGTGATGGCAGCGATGTAAAGTCAGAGGTCAAAGAAGAGACGAAAGTGAAAACAGAGGTGAAGAAGGAGATGTCCCCAGCAGCTGCGCATGTGCAAAGCAGTTTGTTATAAGGTATTTTCAATGTTCACTAGGTATCAGTTGCCATCATTTCAAGACCATCCTCATTATTAGTTTTTTACTGAGGGCAAGCCAGATGACATGACAGCCAAGAGAAGGAAAACCGAGTGGCAAACAGCTCTCAAGAAAATGCCCGGAGACACGAGCTTTGTCAAGGCCAGGAACAGGGGTTCAATATGTGAGACACATTTTTGCAAGTTGGTGCTTTTGATTGAAATCAACTTGGAATCAAATTTATCTATCTATCAACCAGGAAGTTCTGTCATATCTTGCACTCTACGTGGAACCTCCGGCTGCTGGGGCTACTCTATCCACAAACCACCCTGTTGACCTCGTCCTGGATGCTTTCAAGAATCCAGAAAGCGTCCAACCAACCATGCACAAGCTGAAAGTCTTTCTGGAGGAAGCACTGAAAGTTCAGGGAAAGAAGATGGAGTGCTCTGCTGTGCCAGCCACTTCCAGAATGTTCAGAAGGATGTTTCTGTTTAGAAAAACTGTGACCAGTTTCCTACATGTTCTTGTTTAATACATGTCCTTGTCTGTCTGACTTCTTTAGACATGCTTTGCTGAGGACGTTTCATCACTCTACGGGACCAGCACTCACTTAACAACGATGGTGCCATTGAGTGCTATTTGCATCGTCCGACCAGCAGACATGCCTTGCATTGAGGACTGGGTCACCTGCTGCCTAAGCTTCCTCTTCAATGGTTCTCGCTTGTTCAGAGAGCCCCTTGACTTGAATGTGATGCAAAAGGCAGATGGTGCTGGTGTGGACACCTCTCAGCCCTTCCTGGTCGTGAAGAAAGGCTTTACACGGCTGATACATGATGGCAATGAGTACTTTTGCTTGAGTTGCATGTATCTCTACCTTCAGTATCTATGGAGTTTTCATTGAAATGCATGAATGTCAGGACAGCAGGCTTGTTCCTCTTCCTGGTTGCATCAGATCTTGACCCGATCGGAGCAAAGGACCAACATTGTTTGTGTTTCAGCTGCTGATATTGAAACATACTTCCCAGTTGTAAATCAGGAAGTCACAGAGTGTGGCAGGACCTCTTGCAATGTTTGCTCCCAGCATTTGCCGACTTCTTCAGTCTTCCCTGTTCCATCACTGCCTGTACGTGCATGGAGACAGTTAACTTCGAGGCGATCCAGTTGAGCACACAAGGGTCCGAGCGCCAACGCAAAGATGCAACTCAGCTGTACGGACCAAGGACAACTTTTGATGTGGGCCCAGGAAAAACATGTAACCAACCTCTCAACCATAGACACCAAGGTACTCAAACTGGCATCACGGTTTGAGATGCTTTTGAAGGAGCGACAACAGACTGAGAGTGGACGCGAGCAAAACGAGTCGGAACTTCTCAATGAGCTTGTTAGTGCTTACAACTCATATCGAGCAAACGCTGCGATCAAGCGGTGGCAGATCAGTGGTGATCAGCAGGCAGCAATTTGGTGCATTATCATTGGGCTCGATGATACATCACGCTGCCTGCTGCGTTCCCACTTGGACCACAACAAGTGGGAAGAGTCAGGCATCATTGCTGATATTGGCGCATTGGTTTTCTGTTGTTCTACTTTTAGGCGTTGCCAAGGCTGAAACAACAATCAAACCAACCTATGAATACGTGTTTTCTCACTTCTGAGGATACAGTGAAGCCATCCTGAGACTGAAGAGACATCTTCTCAACGAGGCACCCAAGGGCTTGACACCATTTTGGGAAAAGCTGCTTACAGCATCTTGCCTGCTTTACCACAGTTTTATGTTTTTTTGTGCGAACCGTGTTCACCCCTGATTCATGCTTATAAAGTTTGATGTTCTTCACAACAAGGTCACACCAGAAGCACAACACTTGCACTTTCAAAAGTACAACATGTGGTGGAGCAACAATGCCCGTCGTATGAAAAAGACGATGCGGTGCCGCCTGCGGTGGTCAGAAGAGCAGTGGACAGCGAATGTGAACCACTGTTGCATATTTATCTGGGTCCGTGGCCACTGTGAGAATGACCCAAATGTCACACAGGACATGATTGATTCCATGCACTCGGGATTCATGAGCGGGTCACTTGATCAAACTAATTCCTTTGTACTTTTTTGACCTTTTTGCATGATGTGTGATTGGCTTGGTCAATTCCTTCACTGGCTAACCACAGCAGCCTAGGGATTATGGAATGGACCTTGACGCAATCCTGGTGGCGAACCCCTGAGATGACGGCGATGTGGCAGGATCACGTGGGCAGAGTGCTCCTGAAACCAGGAGGCAACAACATCACTGCAGAAGACACAAGCTCGGCAGTGGATGCAGCACAGGAGAAACTTTCAGAGAAAACATTCAATTTGGTCAGGCTCATGTAATGATGTGAAACAAGTTTCCCCTGGTATGCCTTCATATTCTTCTAATACACTTGGTTTTGATGGTTCAAGATATCAGGAGGCATTGCTGACAGCGGAGTATGGCGTGGTGTGCGCCAACTTGTCCCACGATTACAAGGAAGCTGTCAGCTACAATCTGAGAAAGAACAAGGCAGATGTCATTGAACAAGAAACAGTGTTCATACAGTACACGGTACACGTGACAGTTTGTTCCTGGCAGGTTGATTCTTCTCGACATGTCGCCCAAGCCACTGGGTTTGTCAACTTTATCAACCCTTTTGGTTCTGTGTTTTGGTGTTGGTGTGATTAAGCTGCAACTACTTGACACCAAACATCTCAGGTGTTGCACATGAGAGACCAGATCCAAACCGGACTCAATGTCGCAGATGCTTTTATGCAGAAGCGATTGCTTATGGTGTGCGCGGACAAGAATAAGGGTGTGCGCGGACAAGAATAAGGGCAACACTTTTGCTGGCCTGATGCGAAGAGTGCTCACGGACGCGCAGCAACGCTTTGATGCCGCTGACCTGAACCACCTTCACCACCTGGGCTTCATAGACGTCACGAAGTATGGCCGTTTATCAGCAGTTGAAATCCAAGAGATTTGCACGTGGTGCCACCAATTGCTCAGCCAAAACCCTGAGTTTAGTTCCTTGGATGACAATTGTTTTGGTGTAGTTTTTTGTATAACAGAAATAGAGTCCAGCAGCGAGTGAGGCATGGTCTTCATGACCTGTCCAGTGATCGCCAGCGACTCCGTGTTGAACGGCTTACGGGGCGAGTACAGGCAAGGATTGCGATCTACATGTGTTTGCCTTGTTTCGTTCATTGAGCATGAACCCATGATGAGGCGGATTGAGGACAAGCTCAACCAGATGCAAATGGAGGCAAAGGTCGTGCAGGTCATGTTTGACACAGCGACATTACAGGGGAATCGGATCCTTGCAACAACTTTGCACTATTTGGTCTGTCGTTTTAGTGTGTGCATAGTAGTTCCAAAATTATATTAAGTATATACAGTTTTTTATCTCTTGGACATCGAGAACAGGACCTTCCCTCGGGCATTGCCTGCTTGGTTGATCACTTTGGATTCCACCTTGGGCTGTCGCCAGGGCACTCTCTTCAAGGCCCCGAGAAACTCAGAGCGGAAAGTCACAGATGACAATATCTGGACAAAGTCTGACTATTGGAACCTGCTTGTATGTCCACCTTCGGTTCCTTTGCCAGTCAGCCAACAGGTCCACATTCAGTAACATTTGGCGTTTTCTTTCTATGGTGTTTGTACAAATAATCACATATTGGAAACCGTTTGCAGCCAATCAGAATGAACAAAACAAGGCGAGTACGTGACGCCGGAAAGTGGCACGTTCTTTACACATGAACAAGGCCGATCTCTGACCGAAACCTGGTCTAGAATGAGCATTCCACATTTTACTCTTTACACCAAGTCAGTGTAGAACTTGTTTGTGCAAATGCATGTATATTCCAAAACCTGAGGACAAGCAGGAAGGAGCTCAGTGGTTTGCAGCTCCAGCAGCAATTCACAACATTATCTCAACCTGCCTTTCTCGCGTCAGCAGTTTGAAAGGGCAGGCTTTGATCGTTCAGCATCTCACAACATACGACGGGGTCATGGAAAAGGCAGGGGCTTCTCAATACTGTGTGTTTTTTTCTCTGGTCTGTTGTGTTGAAACCAGTGCTGATTGAAACTGCTTGTCATGGTATACTTGACATGTTTGGATGTAGGTCCTCCTGGACATCATGAATGAGCTCAGTGGAGAGTGCTATGTTGCAGGGTTCAGCGAGACACAGAACCCAAACATATTTCAATATGCAGTGACCGGTGTGAAAGACAAACTCCTAGGGGACAGTCAACTGTCAAAACCAGTGATGAGTGATGGCTGCTCAATTTTGATGTGTTAAATTTTTGCTCTCTTCAGTTTTTGTGTTCAATTGTACAACAAAACTGTTCAGGAGTGGAAGACCAGCAAAGGGCTGATCGGGCAGATGGCACCAAAGTTCCAAGAGACTGCTGACCTCTCAGACCAGATGGCCCCGAGAATGCCGCAGCTCAAGCTTTGTCGGATGACAGAGGAGGGGAGCCTGTCGATACCCAATGAGGTTCGGGACAAATGGCTGTCCGATCCTGTGCGGAGTCACTTGGACACATTTCGTTGTTTGCCCACAAAACTTTTTGTTTGCCTACTATGTTTTTTGTTCTCTCATATGAAGTTGGTGGTAAAAGTGGAAACCTTTGAATCTAAGACCCTGATTGGCGGACACGTCTCAAGAACTTTGACAGTGTGTTCACACCAACGACTGCAGCACCACCAGCACCCAAAACAGCAGATGAGACAAAGGATCTTGGCAAGGAGGAGACTGAAGCGGCTGTTGAACCACAGACTGTTGTTGCATGTCCAGTACCTCCGAGCATGTCGGAGGAGGAGTTCAAAAAGCAGCATCCACAGGTGGAAACAACAATCACACTGGCCATGGGGACCAGCGTAACATGCTTTGTGGTGGGGGGGGAAGGTGTTCATCCAGTCAGCCGCAAAAGTTCTTCTGCCTGGCGTTATGTCAGAGAACAGCAAACCAATCTTCATGTACGCTGGTGGCTCTTGGATCTCCGAATCTGCCAAGGCTCCCAGAGTAAAGTTTTCATTGTTTGTGCAAACACAGAGCCAAGACTACATATGTTTTTGACACAGCCTGAACAACACAGGCTCAGGAGTTCATCAGCAAACCTGCCAACGAGGGCAAAGCGATCGAATTCCGGGTTGCATCTGGTGAGGATATGGTTCCTCAACTTGATTGATGGCTTGATGGTTTTCTGATATATTGTTGCTCCAAGGATATTGTTTTCTTCACACTTTTGGCAAACATGTTTTCAACAAACTTTGTCAGGTAGTGCTTGAGGAGCAATCCACCCAAGGGCCAGCAGACTCTGCACCCATGAGTTTTTTTCAGCTGGTGCTTTCCATGGAGCGGAAGGGAATCCTCGACTGCAAGCTTACTGGTCACACAGTGGACCGGCCCGCCGCGGTCAAGAGGGGGGAAGAGCGAGATCGCATTGAGATTTCCCATGAGAGCTACAGCGTCTTCAAGCCCAACAGCGTCAGTGCCAAGCAGGCCAAGGCCACAAACATAGCAGGATTGCTGGGCTTCAAGGCCTTGAACACCAGCAATCATTTGCAGTTGGTCTGGCGAAGCTTGGATTGAATGTTCAAACTTGTGCAATACCTCTGCCAACTATATGATTCTCTCTACCCTTTGTATGCTTAAGGAATGCGGCATTTTGTGCGAGAGAAGGTGCTTGGACCAGCAAAGCCATTGTGGTATGTGAGGGGCGCTGGATTCACCATGGAAGCAGGCCAAGTCTACCAGATTGCATGATTAGTGTGTGAACTTGAACAGTAGCAATGTTTAGCTAGGTGTGTTGAATGTCTGTAAAGCCGTTTTTGGTGTTTGGTGGACGTGACAGCTCGGCCTAGCTGCTTAGCTTCCATGTTGGCAGTTCTGGGGTTTGCCATGTCGGCAGGCTATTTGCCAATTGGGCATGGATTTTGTGTAGGTCTGTCCATACTTTGGACTTAGACTCAACCAGTCGAATCCTGCGGATTGACAGGGGAAGAAACGAGGGGTCACTGTTCACAAGTGCCTGTTTCAATTCCGATTGGAATTGAGTGGTTGCATGTAGGCAAACTCCTTTGTTCACTCCACAGGCATTTTGTTCAATCAGTTGGCATTTGTTTTCTTTCGTGTCCAACACCCATTTGCCTGGCATGATGGGAGTTCCACAGCAAGAGATTGTGGATTTAGATGTGAACACCACAATAGACTCGCAGCTGATCAGCAAGCATTTGAGGGCACCAGCAGCACCTGAACCACCAGCAGCCTGTGAAGTGATGAGGTCAAGGCCTTCATCCAATGCAGCAGCTTCAGAGTCAGGTCAATCCAGGGTGTCTTCATCCCTTCTCCAGCCAAAGGCTCCATCTTTCTTTGCCTTCAAAGTGGATCCGAGCTTGGAGAAGTATATGCTTCGCCCGAGTGAAACTTAGATCCAACATGACAACTTTTTCCACAGTTAAACCTAAGTACTTTTCCTCAGTACATTTCCTTCCAAGGTCCCCAGGATTTTGGTTGTGGTATCAGTAAGGAAATGGCCATGCCGGTGGAGACCATTGCTCGGCCATTGAGGGATCCTACTTCACGCAAGCTTGAATTTGAAGAGGCACCAGCCAAGCAGCCGTATGCATTCTTTGAACAAGATGAGGAGCTGGCTACCGCCCTGCAGGGATCTTTCTTACATGGTGATTTCATGGCCCTGGAGAAAGGGGAGTCTGATGCACCTGACACGCAGATTGGTGAACCAAGTTCAGCTTACCTTGAAGCTGTGGCTAAAGGCAGAAGTTTGCTCACCCGAAGGCAGTCCACGGTGTGGGAAGATAGCCAGCTTGATGAGCCAAGCCCAATAGCAAATGATTCTGCTAAAGATGTTGCGAATGGTACACCTGATCATGAACCTGATGGCCAGGACACATGTTGGTTTTGTGCCCTAACCATCAAACCTGGCAACATATTTCTTTCACACCATTTCATGTGAAGGACCAGGCTGCAAATCATGATGAAGCAAAGGACATCACCGCCAGCAATGATGCTCCAACAGTTGCTTCAAATTGCACATTAAAACAAAACCCCAATTGTTGAACAGTTTTGTGTTCAAGACTTGTGGATTGATGTCCCACCCAAGGCAGCCCCAAAACGTGTTCGTCGTCATTCTGAAATGGCAATGGTGGAATCGATTCCTGATGACAAGTCTGCACAGTCTGAAGAGGTTCACACTTGCAAAACAAGTTTGTGTTTGACATTTGTTCAGTCCTGAAATTTTTGGTTCAGATTGTATTCAAACAGACCAAGGCTAGCAGCAGCAAGCAGGCCCGACTTTGCGTCATGCCGGACATGAGCCCTGGCACAAAGGCCAAAGTCAAGGAACAACAGTTGGTGAAAAAGCGTGCAACTTCACGGGCATGGCATGCGAAGTACAAAGCGAAGGGTGTTTCCCAGACCAGCAAGAAAACACCATTGTTTCATGCGCAGTGCTGAATTCATAGTTTTTTTGTAATTGGGTGTTGCTTTGTGAACATTTTTGTGCCTCCTGTCAGGTTGTCAAAGATTCAGGTTCGCTTGTCACATCACCCCAGAAGGACAAGAAAACCCAGACTATGAAGAAGGCCGAGACCAATCAGGAGGGGGCTGACAAGAACATCAAGGACATGAATCAAGCTCATTGGGATTTTGCCACTTTGACACATTTGAAGTTTATGTATGTTTATAGAGTGTTTATTTGGTAGTTGCATTTTGGGTTCACTTCCAAATTGGGAAAGAACACGTGCACGAGGTGAGGGCCTACATGGAGGTGAATAAAGGTGCACAGATCAAGCAAGCCCATGCTGAGTG